TTTTCTAAACACTGGCATTTTCAACTCCCATCCACCTGAAGCTCTTCAGATTTTCTGTATTTCCACATAAGCAGTTGCATAGGTTTTTATGTCTTTAAACATTATGTAATATTATTCTATGCACTGTCAACATTTTTCAGATATTGGGATTTTCATTATGTGAATTTGAACTCTCATAGTCCAGAAACTGTAATATTATTGCAGGGGTGGATTGAGGCCGTCTTCTGGGTCTTTCAGATGACGGTCAGATTTTTAAGTTTACATTGACTGGTATCAATTTTTTTCTGTTGGAAGACCATCAAAAGTGGAAGATGGATCAACAAAGATACTTTTGGAATAATGTCAGAAAATATCTCTGGATCTGCTCCTGTTATTGAGCATGTTACCTGTTGTGCATGATTAAAAATCAGTGTTAACTGACTGTGTTATTATAAGCATTATTTATTATTGCATCAAAATTGACAAAATGACCTATTTTGCATCTTTATTTTCTGTTTTTTGTCTGTACATTTGACAGCTTTGCTGCCTTGTTCTCTAAACGGATAAAGGATTTCCTTGGATCTCTCAATTTTTGAAGATTTTTGTTTGTTTTGTTTTTTGTTTATTATAGAAGTCCATATTTTGATACTTTACTTGGCGTTTCAGAGCTGTACACAAGAACTTAGATGAGCCAGCCAAGAATGAGGTGTTCATAGGCCCCACTACATACAGAAGACTGATGGACTGCTTCAAACATATTTACTCCACCAAATGTAAACAGAGGACAGAGACAGTGTCCCAACTCAAGTAAGTTGTTTATAGGGACAGTAGAACCATAGGGCATATCTTAGATGTACTTTAAGATAAATATATTTCATTTACTTTTTCTTCTTAATAATCACATTGATGTACATTTGAAGCCTTATTGATGGGGGGCAGTTCATTATATTAGATGTAATAAATCTTAAGTAACATTTTTTTAAACTTTAACTTCACAATTTATCAACACATTGAAATCCTGTTTCATGATTATATTATTATCTTTTAGGAGAGTACTGTACACATTGGACATCACTAGAGAAGATGGCAAAATCATGAAGGAAGCCATCAAAAACATCAAAGAAAAATATGAAAATGCCAAGATCAGGACCAGTAACTTGTTGAGGTCATTGACTCTGAAGGCCACAGTTCTTGAGAAGCTCAAAGCCAGGATTGGTATGGCAACCTCCCTTAGTGCCTTCCTGCAGCTCAACGAGGTGTCCTCAGATGAGGAGGATGAAGAGGAGCTGCTGCAGAAAGGTAAGCTGTCAGCTGTTGATAATCTGGTGCACAGCAAGTGTCTTGTACAAAGCAGGTGTATTGTGTATATGCTTAAGTCAGCATTGTAACATGAACACTTGTTTGGATAAACTCAATTTGATAATTGAAGACTCTGTAGTTTGTTTTTCTGAAACAATGTTAAACATTTTGTTATGCCTGATATTCTTTGAATTGATTGGTGGAAAAGCAATCGCCTTTCTGACTTCTTATTCGATTAAAATGTTCAAGTTATTTTTAGTACATGAAGTTAGCACTAGCATTTCCCTTTCATTTGCAGAAGAATATGATGATTATGATAAAGAATTTGACAGACTCCGGGAGACAAAATTGAAAACCAGACAAGTGAAAGCAGTGGAGGAACTGGCTGCAGCTAAGAAGAAGGTAGAAGAGTGGAGAAAGAACCTTGAATATGCTAAGGAACAAGTGAGTGTTTTTATCATCATATAATACAATTTGGTAATTAATTATGAATTTTAAAAAGCATTCTGAGTGATGTTTTTAAAGTCAAACCAGCTTGCTTTGAGAAAATTTAGTGAGTGGATAATCAAATTTATGATAAACATATTTTTTATTAATGTATAGCTTTTAATTTTTTGATGTATACTTAAATCAAACAAGGTGGCCTTGAACTAAGACACTTTATAAAAGTCATAAAATGAGACAACACTTCCTATTTTAATTAAGGCAATACTATAATTATTTTACTTCAGGTATTACACTGGAAGGGCAAGGTGGATCGTTCCTGTATTGAGAGACTGAGAGCATTCCAGAACCCTCCAATGTTGGTGGGTCACGTAATGGAGATGGTTATGACACTGATTGGAAAGCGAGGTTATGGCGGTCCAGTGAAAAGTGAAAACAGAGACGCCAAGGAAGAAAATAGGGCGACGTCTGCCAGTTCCAGTAGCACAAGGTTTACGGCAACCAAGAAAGGTATGATTTTGGGCAAGGGTAAAGAATTTGGCATTATTGATCTTATTAAAATTTAAGAATTATTTTATTTTTAAAAACTTTCTTACTAGATCTTCAGTAAAGGTATTTACTTGCAGGTTTTCAATGCTTTGTTGCCTAGCTTGTGTAAAAACTTTTCACTCATTTTAGGTTCATATGTCTGCTCTTGCCGCTGGCAATATGTTACCAATTTTTCCTTTTTCTTCTTTTGATTTGTGTAAAATGGCATTTGCTTTAAGAATCCACGGAACCGTAAATTTTACCTTATATATTGTTTAGGTCTTTATAGGAGGATAAGTAGCTATGACGATGATGATCTGAGGTTTTCAGGTGGATTACATTTTTTTTTTGTATTTCACTTTCATTCCCACCACGTCCTTGCCATTGACACCACAGTGCTTCAGTAAAATGAGCACAAAGACTGTTCAGACACTAATTGCTGCAATCTCATTAGATTTCTATTGAGAGAAGCAGAGTTTCACTGCACAACAATCATTGTTATTTTATTATTATTATTTATTTATTTATTTTTTTGTATTCAATCCAATAACTTGTTTTATTGCATTTTTATTTAATTCACCAATTTTTAGTTATATTTTGGCCTCTAGCCTTAGCCCCTCACTAATATGCTTTTAAAGAAATCTTCATTTACTTTAAGTATTTTTCAGCTTTATCACACTATTTTCACCACAATGTTCCTGTTAGTGCTAACAATTTTTGTTCACACAAAATGTCAGTCTATTCATGAACCATCAAATGCTTTATTATTTGTCTGTAGATAAAAAAAAGATAGCTGGAGCCTAATAGATAAACTTGTCTGGTAATTTCAGTTATAAAGGATCCTGTTTTGGACACATTATCCCACTTATCATATTGTATTTCATGTTTAAGAAAGTGCACCTGATCAAAATGACAAAATAGATATAAAATGATACATAATTGAGAAAGTTTACACATTGATATTGCTATTATTACAACCTGTATGTCACTGAATATTGCAGTGAACTCCACCAAAGATGTCCCAGAAAAGTTTGACCGTGGCAAGTGGAAGAATATGCAGTCATCCATGACAGATTCCATGAAGTTTGTAGACATGTTGCACAATGTACCATGGGAAGATGGTCTGCCAGATGCCACTCTCAAATGTTAGTACATAGTTATTTATTTTTTACTGCAACTAATTTGATTTTGATTCACTGATCCTTACAAAAATGACTCTTCTGCAAAGTGCAATGTTTGGTGATAACTTTTGAAAAGCAGTAAAAAAAGTGGTCAAATTTTTAAAAAGATCGCAAATCAGAACTTTTCTGATTTAAACTTGGAAAATGTGTTTATGATTTCAGTTGTGTAATTAAATTATGCCAGAATGATAAAGTTTTTATGTTGATATTTCAGCTGTTGAGAGCTACCTTGCCAGGGGTGTTGATGGTGGTCTTGGGGTGACAGGAGAGGGTTCCATGCTGGAAAATGCTGCAGGTAAGAATTATGATTGTATTTCCTGTCAAGATATAGTATCTCTGAAAATAGTATCTCCCTTTTTATCATTGATTTGAGCAGGAAATGTGAGTTGAAATCTATGATCTTGTAGCTTGTTCCCTTTTATAGAAATCACTTGAAAATTTGGTTGGACTATCTTATAGCTATTCACAGAATAGAACATAAGTGTTGGTGGACCAGTATAGAAATTCAGAGGTCAAATTTGGTTTACTTAGTATTTTAACTTGCTTTTCCAGACAAAAGTTTTGTTGCATCCCGGCGTTCCCCGTCTCCAGATAACTCTAAAGGCATCACGGTGGCTGCGGCCAAGTATTCCAGTGAGGATGCTGTGGTCCTGGTACAGTACACCATTGCCATAGTAGAGTACACCACACTGTGTGCCCCTCTGAAGGCAGCACTGGAGAGACAACATGAACTGGAGAGGGAGATTGAAGAGAATGAGCGGCTTAAGAGAGAGAAGGAGGCAGAGGTATGGTTTGTATGTGTGTGGCTATATTGGTGTATCTGTGTTGTATAGGGTGACCACAAAGTTGTTGTTTTTATTGATATTTTGATGTTGTGACTGAAATGAGTACAAGTTGTCAGCATATTTTTGTTACTCTTTTACCATACATGGTGCTATGGGGTCAATATGTGTAGTAATATTTTGGTTGTACCCACGTCTTTGGCTTTTTTTATCGATATAAAGGGAACCCCAATAAATTAAACGAAACATTTAAAGACATGCTTTATTTTTACTTTGTTTCTCTCTTCAGACCCCATTGTAAGAAATCTTTCAGTGAACCATTACAGACATTTCTAAATGTTTTGTCCACAAAGGCATAACCCGACCTGTTATATGCATTTCATGGATGTCAAAACATTGTCAAATTATGCTGGGTTCACAAATACATGTTAGATATATCATTACTTCTGTCCTATATCTGTTCTTTTTAGGACTCATTTATAATTTGCCATGCATGCAGGGAATTTTAGAACAATGTTTTCAGATGTAAAGTGATTTATTAGGTATTCCAGCTATAACACTATTGTGCAAAACAATTATCAATGGAAATTGAAGATCTATTACACTCTTGTTGAAAATTCATATGAATATTGGTTAGATATTGTTGGTACTCTCCAGTGGTTGTACATTTGTGACAAAAAATGTTTGCATGTATATGTCAGATTTGGATAGCTTTTAGAACATGTTTTTACAGCAACAATTAAGGACTTTTTAAAAATAACATTGAGGTAATGATTATCCCATTCCATCTCTTTGCAAATATAGGAGCAAGCAAAGGAGGAAAAGCTCAAGGTATTTAAGGGCATCATTTCATGTTATGAAGATTACAGTTATAATTATTGAAATTAACTAAAAGATGTAGATAATGATCTAAAACATAAGTAAAACAATACTATTACATAAGGCACTGCCAGGGTCTCTACATGATGTCCATGGTGGTGGTTATAGTAGCATGAGAAATGTAAAACATTTTGATTGTCCAATGAGCACTGCAAAATGAGTGAGAAAGCTGCTTGTAAAATGCCTTACTTAATGTATATAACATAATTGACAATAACGATAAAATGAAATGGTGATTGGGTTAATGTTTAATATTTAGTCGTAATTAATAACATGATTCCTGTTGCATGATTTAAAGGAGTTAGCAGCCAGGCTGAATATGAACACAAAGGTTGGGAACCTCTGCATGCATTTTTTTTTTTTTTTTTTTTTTTTGCATGATTTACTCTTCTTTAAGAAATCAGAAGATAGATCATCACATTGTGAACTTAAGTATAGGTGGATGTAAAAATGTTTTCATTAAGTGTCACTTTTGGAGCAACTTTTATGAATTTGTTTCAGTTTTGGTATCTTTTATATTTTGAAATTTCTAAGGCCCATTGGCATGACCAAAAAAAAGCTACTTTAAAAGAATTGGTAAAAGTAAAAAAAATGTTGTATGATCTGTCTTCTTTTGTAGCTATGTCTGTCTGTTGTCTCCAGACAGGTGCTAGACTTCATGTAGCAAAATATGTGCATTTTTCTGTATTTATTTGCTTGCTTAGAGAAGCTGGCCCTATATGGAAACAACAGTGCTTAATCTAACTACAATTTCTAGACTAAGAAAATGAACATAAATGTATTGCCCTGGTACTGCAGGTTGCATGTGGCTTGCTTGGATAATTAATTGACTATACAAATTATGCCAGATCAGTTTGGCAACAAAGGGTATACATATTCAAGAGTATTGTGCACTTTTTGCGCTGTGAACAGGTATATAATAAGCCACACTTGGTGCCAGCTTTGTTTATTTAGCTCGAGCCTTAAAGGTATAAAAGTTGAAAGTGGAAAAAGTTGGATTTAAGGCTCACTCCATTTCAGTGATTGCCAACTTTTCTAAAACCTATTTACTTGATATTTGTGTTGATTTCACCACCTGAACTCTGTGCATCAATTCTGTCATCTTCTGAAATGTCTTCTGAGTGTTAAATTTGTTGTTATATTTGAAACATTGTCTTTCCTGGAGTGATCCTCTGTTTTACCAGGCCGCTGCTCTCCAGGGCAGTCCTTCTCCAAAGCCACTCTCTCCAAACCAGGTAGTAAGCTAGTCTAAGAATCAGTTACTGTGGAAATTTGTGTTGAAATTCTTATTTTGTTGAAGCTAGAAGCTATTTTATAGATTCATGTGATTATGTTTTTCATGCTTATTATGTGTTGGAATTTGTGTTGTTGTTTGGTCTGTTACAATGTGATCCCTTTATGTAAGTGATCTTGATTGCAGGCTTGCAGACTTTTGTTGCCATGCTTGAATTAAGAGTTAAGACATCAGTTTATAATTTCAGAATATAATGTTTTCATATTTATCTGTTTTGATAAAAGTTAGTAATAATCTTGTGATATTATGGATTTTATTTGTTTCTTACAAAACCTTGTTGGTTTATGTATAAAAATAGAAGAAAAATACAGTTTAGTATATTAGAAAAAACACTAGTGAAGAAGTGGCTGAATGAGTAATATCAACATAAATTTTGTAATTAAAAAGTAATATATTGCAGAACTGCTGAAAAAGATCCAAAGATCCAAAACCAAAAGTTATTCATGTCATATAACCATAATCATGGCATTCAAATTTGAAAAGCAGCAATATGTGACACTTTTGCTTTCTACCCTCCACAGGCTGAAGAGGCAGGAGCAGAGCAGGAGCAGGAGCCAGAATTGGAGGAGGATCTCACAGAAGATGATCTTCCAAGGATTCAAGAGGAGGTCAACAAGCTACAGATGCAGTTTGATTCTGCGGTAGTTGAGAAACATTCTCTGGAAATAGAACTAGTGTCCATGAACGAGAGACTGAGGGCAGCCACAGAGATGTTGGAAAGGTGAATAAAATTATCCAGAATTTTGATTGTGTTGATTTTGAAGAATTTTTCTGCTTGATAAATGATCTGTATTTCATAAGACCAAAAATGTTCAAACACTTGCAAAAGTTAAGATTCCATTGATGCATGGCCTTTCATTTTATGTTTAAAACTATTACCTGCTTTTTACATATATTTACTTTTTTTTTAGTTTGAAGTCTCAGGAGCAGGAATGGCGACAACATGTCAGAGAAAATGACAGCAATGAGATGTTGATGGCTAATTGTATTGCTGCAGCAGCTTTCCTGACCTACTGTGGCCCTATGACTACTGATACCAGGTAGGTAATAACAACATGTTAGTGTGCCATTCTTGTGGGCACTTCAGTCATATCACTTTAAGTGGGAATTCCAGTACATAATCTTATTTAAATGAACAAGAATTATATTTAATCTCTTTATTTAAATTTTCCTCAAAATTGGAAATGTAATGTTTTTGCTTTACACATTTTGACATGCAACCAACATGGATACTTATTCTATGATGAAAAATGCTTTTGTCAGATTAGTAAAAATGTTTGAATTTTTCGATTTATGGTAATTGTTCCTGAATTGACCATAAACCCTCCCTATGTAAGAACACAGTTATATATAAAAACATGTAATATATTACAGGAAAAGGATGGGAGAGTTTTTCATGTATGTGTGTGAACACCATGGTATGCCTATGCCCAGGAAGCAACTGTTCAGGAATCTTGAACTCATTGACTTCCTTTATGAAACTGTAAGTACTCTCAGGCTGAACAGTCATTGTGAATGTTAACAATATTCATCCCTTATTGATGAATGTAGAAATACATGTACATACTCTCAATGCAGAAGGTATTTTGCACAATAGTTGATGATTTTTTTTTCTTGTCAGATAGGTATATGTGCAGATGATATTGCAGACTTTACCATAGTTAAGCTTTGGAGTTAAATGAAATTTACAAGTATTTTAATGTAGAGGTTTAAACTAGTTTGTTAAATAGCATGATGGGTGGAGAAATGTTACTGTCAGTACTCTTAAACTCAGGGTCAGATTTTAAAAATCATTAACTTACTACTTATTTCATATCCATATATCTGTGTAGACTGAAGTGAAGCAGCTAGAGATGAAGAAGCTCCCCATGACACGTCTGATGTTGGAGAATGCCTGCTTTATCATGCAGGAGGAGAGCAGCATGGCCTGGCCACTGTTATGTGACCCTACCAGCAGGGTCATTGACTGGATCAAGGGCTACCTCAAGGAGAAGAACCTCATGGAGGTCAAATACCATGTAAGTGGAATTATTTAGTTTGTATCAATGTATTTTATTATCATTTTTTTATTGCGGAACATGCCAGTGAATGTGCATTTATGCAGGCTCATGCCATTGCAAGAGATATGAGAAAGGAAAAAATTCAAAGTTTTTTTACAGAATTCATAAAATTTATCACGAATATACTGAATGTATGTTATTGTGCCTATAAGAAGTGATGGAGGGAAAAGGTTTTGACTTTCTATTTACTGTTTCCAGGAACTTCGCTCCCAGCTAGAGAACTGCCTGGCAGACGGCACACCTCTCCTGGTGACAGATGTTGATGTCAAAGAACTAGTCTGTGATGAAAGGTTTAGAAATGTCCTGCTCAAAAGAGCAAGGTTCCTCAGAGAGAAGACTGCTTTCAAGTTAATGGTAAGTAGAGTGACCAGCAGGAGGGGGAAGGCCAGTAACACATGTTGTAACATATGGTTGTTTGGCATTACATCATTCACAGTTAATTCTTAATAAGGCATCAAATCAAGTGATTCACAATACTCTGCATCATATAGCACAAACAATATAATTCAGGTCAACAATTGAGGAATCTGTTTCTGAGCTGCTAAAGTGTGTTTGCATAAGTTTTTTAAAACATTATTATTGAAATGTCTGAAAGTGGCACCAGACAAGCAGATTTCATAGAAAAAACTCCCAAGAATCTCCCTAAGTCAAGCCAACTTATATCAGATGAAGGTGTGAGTAAGACATAACAGGTTTTTACATAATACAGCAGTCTATATCTACATGGATAATCTATATTCCAGGTGGGAGACCATGAGGTGGAATGTGAGCCCAAGTTCCGGCTGTACCTGCACACTACCAGTGAGCCCCACCACATCCCCCATGAGCTGGCTGCCTACGTGTCCTCCATCTTCTTCCACATGTGTAGAAATGACATGGAGGAGGAGCTGCTGGACAGGTTCATGGCTCTGGAGAAGGCCAGGCTGGAGGAGGAGAAGACCACTCTTATGCATGTATGTACATGGAAACTGCTGCATGTTTTTGTGCAAGTTTGCATGAATGCATGTGTATATGTGTGTGGTTAGTATGTGCAATGTGTACACTTTGTACACATACCATGATCTTGATTGCATTAGGTCATGTGTGTTGTCAGCAATTAATGTTCCACTGGGGGCTTTGTTATTGTATGAATACAAGTTTTTGTATTAGGTTCTCTGGTTAAGAAATTTTTGATTTCTGTTTCTAGGAGAAATTAGAATACATGCAGTTCTTCCACAAGATAGAGAAGCAGATGCGTGACCTGTTGTCCAGTGATGTGCGGCTCATGAATGACTTAGCAGCCACAAAGAAATTGGCTGACATGAAAAAACAGTTTGATGAAACTTTGGAAAGGTAAAGAGGAAAAGAAGGGTTTTTTTTCCAAATTGGGGTTGATACTTTGAAGTTTGAGTTGGGATTTTAAGATATATTTTGAGTGTTAAGATAAATCAGAAGTTCCAACCATATCAGGCTTTACCTTCTTTTACTTGTAGACACTCATTTCATTAATAAATAAACAAAAATGTACCCTAAATTGAATATTGTAGTAGGATGTTTCCTATAATATATTATTTTTTTCAGTCATTCAAGAGTGGAAGCTAATGAGCATTCTATCCTGCGTGCACGTGAAGGCTACAGAACAGTGGCAGCACGTGGTGCCGTGTGTTTTGATGCCATGCAGTACATGCGGGAGATCAACCCCATGTATCAGAACTCCTTCTGTCAGTTCTTAGAGGTTTATGATGCTGCCATCAACCACTCTGAGAGGTAGGTTATACTCTATGGATAGCTAATAAGTTGTAAAATATAACAGTTTCACAACTGGTTCCAGTCTAGTTTTTAGCCTTGTTTGAACTTCAGGTGCAGATGGTTGAAAGCTTTTTTAAAGTGTCCTTCAACTCAGTTTAGGAAAATCATTTGAAAATTCGCTTGAAATTGACTTAAAATGTTGAATGAGTAGATTTGTGCATAAATATTTGAAATTTGTCAGGAAATCAAATGGGAGGTTTAATTTAATGTAAAAGTATAAAAAAATTAGTTGCTAGATTAATATCAACATTTGAGTATTGCATTTGAAATGTATAGATATCCACAAGACTGGTTATGACCATAACTTGCTACATTATGTGTTTATTTTGATACTCTAAAAGCTTGATTGTGGAAAATAACATTTCTGTTGAAATTGATAATAATGCTTTATTGGCACCTAGATTGCTTTTTACTGTCACAGTGATGGTAACAAACTTTTTGAGGGTGTATTTGAAAATTCTAATTTTTGTTGTCCTGTTTTCAGAACAAAATTAAATCATAAGATATGATGGCAAACAGATATTATAATTGTTTAGCAACTTTTCCAAAAAAATCTCACAAGTGAATTATTCTGTATATTGCAGTTGGGAGTTACAAGTTACATATTAAAAGTATACATTAATTTTCACAACTAATTCTGTAACTAGTGCATGGGGGAGTTCTTCACTCAGAGAATTAACAATAAAAATCTTACATTTACGTAGATTAAAATTGGTTTTGATGTTGTTGGGTGAATGCATGTAAAAGCATGTTATTTATATTGTGTATATTTAGATTTTTTATTGATTGTTAATACATCTACAAAACAAAAAATGAATTTAGAATTGGTAATAGATGTTTCGATTGCTTGCTTTATAT